AGGGCCACCAGGGACCAGTGCTGGTACCGGCAGGGCTTGACAAGGCCCCTGGGACTGGCATAGCATTGGAGCAGCACTGGTACTGGCACTGGTACCAGTTTGGGCATGGGGGGGCGCTGGCAGTGGGTCCGGTACCAGCGTTGGCATGGCCGGGGCCCCGCTACCGGCACCCGCGCTGGGGGGGCGCTGGTGCTAGTACTGGTACCAGCACAGGAGAGGCATAGGTGCCGCACAGGTACCGGTGCTGGCAGCCCCAGCACAGCGCTGGTACCGGTACCAGCACCAACACGGGAAGGGGGCAGGCACAGCTCCGGCACCCCAGTCGGCACAGGCATGGCACTGGTGCTGGTACCAGTACTGGCAGAGGCGCAAGAGGGACACTGGTACTAGCACAAGAGGGCTGCACGCCCAGCCCTAGCGCCACCGACAGAATGGGCATGGCACCGCCACCAGTACCAGTACAGCGCTGGTGCCAGTATGGGCATGGCAGAGGCACTGGTACCACTGTCAGCCTAGTGTTGGTAGTGGCGCAGCAGGGACACTGCCACAGCAGCAGTGCCAACAGTCAGAGGGCACAGGTGCTGCCTGGTACCGGCACAGGCGTAGCAGGGGGACAGCATCAGCACCAACACGAGAGGGACGCTGGTGCCGGTGTGGCACAAGCGCAGCACTGGTACCGGTACTGCATGGGGACGGTGCTGGTACCGGCATGGCAGTGGCGTAGGCACGGCACCAGTGCTGGCACAGTCGCTGTGGCATGCAGGCTGGCTGCAGGTGGGCATCGGCGTGTTGCAGGCTGTGCCCCCCGGTGCTGAGCCCAAGTGGGCATGTGGCTGGTGCCGCCGCTGGATGCGGTGACGGGCGCGAGGTCAGCGTACACTGGGCAGATGGGGCAAGACCCTCAGGTTGGGGTGTCCCGCTGGGCACATGTCTTCCTGAGCTGGGAATGGCACTGGGAATCCCCTGCTGTGGGGACATCCCCTGCCGTGGGGACTCAGCTGTGCCATGAGCACAGGAGAGGCATGGCCCCTTCCTGGGGTTCGGATGGCCCCTGAGGGCCTCGCCTGTGACCCAGGCAGATCCTTCAGGAAGGTGGTGGGATGCCAACAGACCTCTCCCCTGCCTTGTGCCTCTGCGTGCCTCTGCTTCCTTGGGGCCTGTGCGGCCAAGCGCGGTCATGGTGGGAGGGAACAGTGTCCTTTGTGCCTGTGCCTGGCCACAGGGCAGTCCCTGGGAGGACAGAGGGCGGCAGGGAACCAGCTCAGCACGTCTGCACATCCTGGCAGTGTTACAGCCGAGAGCTGCAAAGGCAAGACAACCGCGTCAGGGCAGGCAAGGAGCAGGCTCTCAGCCAAAGTCCTTGTCCGGGCCGAGGTACAACCTGCCCGGCCCCTGGGGCCTTTCCGCAAAGCACTACTCTTGGGAATTTTTCATGCACCTCTTTGATGCAGGTGTAAAACATGCCTTACACCGCAGGGCTGGTCCCCTTCAAGTGTGAACCTAGCCTTGAGGAGAAAGGCGCTTGCTGCTTTCTAGCAGCCTTTGTCTTGAGCAGGCAAGGAGTGTGTTCTCTACTCAGTCTAGGCCCACAGCAGAAAGTATGTGTTGGCCCTGAGAGGAGCCTCTTGGTGCAGGACAGTGGTTATCCCCAGCCCAGACACCTCCTCGCCTGGTGCGAAGCCAGGGATCTCCACAGATGCATGCCAGCTGATCCATCTGTGGATGTGCAGACCTGTCTCCCCAGCACCAGGCACTGTGTGTGCTGCTTGAGTGCAGAAGGAGATCTTTTGCCTGAGGCAGGAATTATCTCTTTGAGCCCAGCACAAGTGCTCTCTGTTTAGCAGTCTCTCTGTCTCTTTTTTCAGGGCTTTTTTCTGGCTGGTCTCGCTGCTGCTCTCCTCCCTGATCTGGTTTATTGCTGTTAAAGCCAGTGACCCCAATGATGAACCATTGCAGAAGGGGCTCTTGATATTTGGGGTGATGTTTTCTGTGCTGCTGCAGGAGGCCTTCCGTTTTCTCTACTACAAACTCCTCAGGTAAGGGACATGGCATTAGCCTGGCATGAGGAGGAGGCTTTTCGGTGACCCAGCTGGTTGTAGGCTTTGCCATCTCGCTGTGGCATAGCCAGAGGATGTCAGCGCTTCCTATCTGCTGAGATGTTCTTTGGAGCCTGGTGGCAATACCCTGAGAGGCAGCTTAAATTTCCCGTGGGCCTCAGTGAGCCCTGGGCTGGTCCCAGAATCTGGGGATGGACTGGTATTGCCCTTCCCCTGCCCTTTCTCTCTGCATCCTGTGCCTGCACTCTGCTCAGGATCTCGATCAGCGTTTTTTAGGAGGCAAAGACTCGTACAGTTAAAATCTCTGTGTCACAGCTAGGTCAGTACATTAACATCGAGTCTAGCTCTGGTGGTGGGGAAGAACATCTCTAAGGTCTGGAGGATTGATGCCTGAGCTGGCTGGTTTCTCTTAATTCAGGACAGGTAGGCTGTGATTTTACGCTGTTACAGGATGTGTAACATCAGCTCTGTCCTGCCTTCCCAGCAGGCTGTTTTGGCTAGATTCAGGAGTGCTCCCATAGCTTGGACAAATGCCTGTGGGATGCCAGACAGAAAACCTCCCGCTTTGCTGTGTGGATGAAGGAGAAGGGTTATGGATCTACCCCCGTGTTCCAGCAAGTTTTGTTCCTTTCTTAGGGATTTCTTTTTCTTTGTTTCAGCAGAGCCTGAAGGTGATTTCAGGGCTCTGCCTCATCCGAGGCGCCTGTCTTGGCTGGTACAGTGTCACATTGTTTGTGAGCCAGTGTTAGGCCTCGTGTTATCCTCAAAGCTAAATGGCTCAGGCCTAGGGAAATGGCAAGGAGTTGTGTAATAGTGTTGTCTGTGGGGGAGAGATCCACAGCAGTGCCTACAGCTCTCTGTCATCTTCAGATTTGGGTGTCAGGTTCAGGATGCTTTGATGACTCCCCTCCTGAGGGGTGGTGATAACATGGCCAGAGTGGTTTGTCGGTCCTGAGCCTGACTGAGAAACATTAATCTTGGATGTTCTAGCGGGGCTCAGGGACGGTCCCCTGCCATCAGGTCAGAGGCCAGGCCTCCTGGTCAGGATCAGCCCTGTGTGGCCAGGAGTCAGAGCAGGTCCCGCCATTGGGGGACCATTCTTGCGATGCCCTGAGTCCTTGGCGCAGGGAGAGGTGCCTTCGACCTGGATTTTCATGGGAGTTTCTGCCCCATCAGGCCCAGAGATATGAGCTGTTCTGCTAGGAATCGCTTTGCCCCTCCCTTAAGTAGCAAAGCTGCTTTGCAGGTGTCAAGGCCGGCAGGAGCTGTTCCAGCGACCTGCACTTGAGTGTTAGACCGCCTAGAGTCTTCCCAGAGCCTCCTGGCTCTGCCCTACCTTTCTGTGACGGGAAGGCCAGCCCTCGGGGCCTAGCTGTCTCCTACAGGGTGCGTACCCTGGGCCGGGGCAACCCTGCCAGCTGCTCTGTGCCCCGCTCCGGGGCTGAGATAAAGAGCCCTGAGATGGTGCTGGCAGGCAGTGAATCCCCCTGAGGGGAGGGAGCAGGACTGCCAGTGAGGTGTGCTGGAGCACAGCATCTCTCCAAAGCAAGTCCTGACTTCTGATCCTGCATCCTCCGTGCCCCATGGCACGGTCCACACCTGGGCTCAGCCCCGCAGCGAGGAGCCTCTAGTGTGACCTCAACCTGCCTTCTGCAGCAAGGGAGTGCGCCAGGGGCTTGGACAGTCAGTCTGGCGGTGCTGGGACGTTGTTGGTGGGATGGCGCATCACCGTCGGTAACTGCCTCTGCCTCGTGCTTGGCATCCTGGCCAGCCCAGGGCAAAGTCTAAGCCCAACCTCAGAAAATCTCTGGCTTCCTGGGCGCTGCCAGGCGGGAGCGCAGGGATCCCTGCCACCTGCTGGGCTGAGCATGCGCTGCTAGTCGCGTGGGCTTTTGGACGGCCCAAGGCAGCCTGCGCACTGGGCAGCACGGATGGCCAAAAGGAGGCAATGCTGGGATCCCAGCAGTCCCTGCCTTGCCAGCTGGCTGCACACACCTATTCCCCAAGCATAGCGTGGTGCAGGGAGTACGCATGCAGGAAGGGCTGGGAGCAAGAGAAAGGCAGGGAAAGGGTGATAGCTTGGGAACGAGGGGCTTGGGAAAGGTCCGGACTTGGGTAGGGGCGTGTGTGGAAGCAGTGCCAGTTGTTCAGCCAGTGGTTGGTATGTGAGCTCACACCACTCCCTACAGCAAGGCATTGCTGGAGCCAGGAAGGCAGAGGGTAGCAGAGATCCGTAGATTACCCTCTGTAACATAAACCATTGCGTTTTGTTCTGCAGAAGCCCAGCAACTTCTAGTGCTGCTTTCCTCCTCCAGGCTGAAGAGGCTTTCTGTATTTCTCCTTACCCACCAGAGCCCAAAGCTGATGAAATTTGTCAGGCCAGGCTCCTGAGTCTCTCCCCCAAAGCAATTTTTCTAGCTCTTTGAGCTCTTCTCTGCACCCTCCCTGTTTTTTCAACCTCTTTTAAAAATACGGATGCAAAGACCCGGTGCAGTCTCACGGGTGTATGCTTCCTATGTCGGCAGCAGTACTGTTTTCTGCAGCCTCGTGCAAGGATGCTGCCCGTTGGGCCCACAGCATTCTGTTTTCCCCTACACTTAGTCTATAGGGTTGGCTTGCATCCATCTTCCTATGTGGAAAATGTTTGTATTTGGCTTCACTAATGTATGTCTTTTGTGTGCATGGTTTGTCAGGCAATTAGGGAGGTCCCACAGATACTCTCCATGGTGGTTTTTGCAGTTGCTGCCAATTCAGTAATGGGAACACGCAAGAGCACTGATCCTGATGCCCTCAGTCAGCGCTCCTTGCTGGAGTTTGTCAGCCAAGTCATAAATGTTTATTGCTGTGGTCTAGTGATATGCAAAGTGCCAGTCAATCAATCAATCAGTCAATCGCAGTATCTTTCAGCATAAAGTCAGGTGTCTGTCAGAGACCCAATTGTGTCACAGCTGCACCCTTCCTTTTGTGAGATTACAAAGAGGGTGGGTTGATGCAGGATGAAATCCTGGCTTGCTGCCCAGTTCGTCCTTGGTGCTGCAGCCGTGCTGTGCTGTGCTGTGCTCCAACGTGCTCTCCTCTCTGTAGGAAGGCTATTGAAGGTCTCGTGGCCCTCAGCGAAGATGGCTGCTCCCCGATTTCCATCCAGCAAATGGCATACGGTGAGTGGCGGGCAGAGCAGGGCACCCCAAATGCAGAGCCAGAGGTGGCCCCACAGGGTGAACCTGGGCCATAGGGAGGTGCTGGGCCTCTTGCCAAGAGGAAAGGGAGGTTTCTCACACCAAAGCAGGCTGGGTCTCTTGCGGGATTAGGCGGTGCCTGGGTGTAGGTGGCCCTGGGAGGCTGCTGGAGCTGTGGGCTCAGGGCCTTACAGTGTCTTTGTCCTGGCAGTGGCTGGCGTGGGCTTTGGGCTCATGAGCGGTGCCTTCTCCATGATCAATCTCCTGGCAGACGCGTTAGGGCCTGGCACTGTGGGGATCCATGGGGACTCACAGCTTTACTTCTTGACCTCGGGTGAGTGACAATCCCGACCCTTCTCCCACATCTCTGCCCCTCCACTGTGCCTCATCACGGAGATGTGCAGCCCCATGAATGACAGCCTTAGCCCCCAGTCCTCTCCCCTTCGTGCTACATTTTGCTGCTACTCCCCATACCTTTCTTAGCCCCCCACCTGCAAGAGCGTTCTGTGCAAAACCCTTCTCTCTGTGGCCTGCTACCCTCCCTGCGCCTGTCCCCCATCCCTCCCACACTCAAGGTGTGCCCATGTGCTTACTAGTTCAGCCCAGTAGTGCCACCACTCGTCTTCCCTGGCCTGACTCCTCTCCACCAGCCTAAGTCCACAGGATGGGGTGGGTGACTCTCCTGTGACTCCCCTCTGTGCTGCTCCCTGCAGCCTTTATGACCATGGTGCTGATTTTCCTTCACACCTTCTGGGGGATCCTCTTTTTCCATGGCTGTGAGAACCGGCGCTGGTGGGAGATCATGGCTGTTGTTGTCATGCACCTTGCTGTTTCGGGATCGGTGAGTAGCAGGGAGCGGAGCCGTGTGCTAGGGGCCTGTGTTCAGGAATGGCTTTGGTATGTGATAGTCCCCCTGCCCAGAGAGGAAGGAAGAGCCTTCGACAGCAACAAAGCTGTTGATGTTTGGGGACTTGGAAGCAGCCCCACATGGGATGGGCCCTTGACAAAGGCAAACGGCTGGAGCTGGTTTCTCCTGCCCCGGTACTCTGCCAGCTCAGCAAGGCCATGGTCTGTGATGCTGCCACGTGTGCCTGTCCCATCCCAGCCCCTCACCAGAGCTGCTGTCCCGGGGGAAGAGAGAGGAGCAGGACATGATGGCTGTGTCCAGCAGCAAGGGCTTGAGAGATCCCTTTCCTGCCCGCTTACCCTTTCCCTCTCCTGCTTCTCTTCCCCAGACGTTTTGCAACCCCCTGTACGTGGGCAGCCTGGTGCCCTCCTACCTGCTGATGGCTGTCGCTGCCACCTGGGCCTACCTGCTGTCAGGGGGCTCTGCCCAGAACGTGCGTCGCTTCCTGCTCTGTAAGTTCTGCTCCATTACAGGGGGACTCAGTAGCTGGCTGGGCTGGTCCCTTCTGGGCTACCTGTGAGGAGCTGGGACAGTGCTGAGGGTCGGGGGTTGTCTCAATCAGAGGCTGAAGCAAGGATGTGATCTCCTTCGCTACCACAGACAGGTTAGGAAACTCTGTGGTTTGGGGCCTTAGCTGGATTGTTGCCTCTGCTGTAGGAAATGGATGGGGCAAGAAGTTTGCTGAAATCTGACCCCCGTCTCTTTGTTCCTGTAGGTTCACAGAGTGGAGCCAGCCCACAGCCAGGATCCTGAGGCCCTGTGGGATGTTCCTGTCCCCAGCTGCCCCCTGCCCTCCCCTCCGTTCTGTCGGCTAGAGCGGCCGTCACCTTCTCTGCAATATATTTTCTCCTGGAATGGAGGACACCGGCCAGGCCCTGCGGGGCAGGTGCTCCGGTCCTGCTGCAGCAGCCAGCAGATTGTCGTCGCTGGGGCTGGCTCGCTCCTCTGCCCCTTTGGGAGCCCCCGCAGAACAGCCCTGCTTGGGGGACTCGGCTTTGCTGGCCCTGCCATGCTGCAACTGAAGGCTGAGTTAGCCTGCTTGGGAAGGATGTTACCTTGGACTGCCTGAGGCCCAAGCCTGAAGAAACACATTGCTTCTTCCCCCACCACAGAAGATATGGAAGATATGCTGTCCCCTGTGCTGGAGGGAGACATCGCTCCTCCTCTTCCTCCTCCCCTGGGGTGGAGGAAGCAGCCTTGCAGGGCATTGTCACGCTCTGGGCTGGGGCCAAATGCTGTGGTGCTACTTTCTCCACCTCTTCACCCAGGCTTGCTGCACTGCGAGGCTTTGCCCTGGTGCTGAACTGTGGCAGCTGCAGTGAGTTGGCACCCCAGTGCGGGTAGGGGAGGCTGGTGGAGCGGTGGTAAGGTGCAGGGCACCATTGGCAGCTGGCATGGGGCGGGGAAAAGGGGGTTGGAGCTACCCAGGGTGGGAGGAGGGTGCAGTGCCTGGCAGACATGGGCCTGGCTGGGTAGTGGCTGGCGGCTCAGGATGACAAGTCACCCCACCCCTGGTGCCAGCAAAGCTTGGGAGGGGTGGGTGTGACATTCAGGGGACCATTCCAGTGGATCATTTCCCTCTCCCAGGGTTGGAGAGGGACTTTTCAGCAGGGCATCAGCCCTGAGGATGCGCTACAGGACCGGGAGGTAGAAATTACCATCGGGCTCAGGGCTGAGAATGCGATTTTGTCCACACTGGGCTTTTATACCAATAAAGAGAAGTATTGGATGTGAGTGGGGTTGTGCATGGCTGGCAGCCGTGCCTCTGTGGGCAGGGTGCAAGCACCCTACAGCAATGGCAGCAGCTCCCACACGTGTGACTGTGAGGGATCGAATGCAGCATGGCTGCAGCTGGGGATTTGCCTGCAGAGTCAGGGATAGCCCAGCTCTCCTGCCTGCCAATGCAGGGTACTACCTGCTAGGCATCCAAGCAGGTGACAGAGGTCATGTGGACCTTTTCCCTCTCCCCCCACCCCAAGGGTGACTTTAGCTTCATGATATCCTTTTGTCCCTCCAAATGATGTCAAGGAACTAGGAGAGCTTTGTTTTTGTCTTTTCTGGAAGGCAGCTTTGAGGATCCTGGGCCCATTCTGTCCCTATGGCACTCCCACAACTGCCTTGAAGCCTTGCTCCTGCTCTGTCCCTCCTAACGTGGGCTAGGCCCCAGCATTTCCTCCCCTCAGCCCTTCTCCCAGCAGCACCCTCGCAGGGGGCAGTGGCTACCCTCGGGGCGGAGGCTGCTCAGAGGTGGTGAGCAGCAGGTTCCTTCCCTCTCCTAAGCCCAGCACGTTTCTCTTGGCTGCGGAGCAGTAGGGAGCGGTCCAGGGCTTGGCTCTGACTGAACAAGAGGCTTCAGGGGTGGTAAGCAAGAAGAGGGCATAGGTGATTTGAGGAAAGTGCTACAAGAGCCTATAGCATACCCAGAGGGGAACTGGGTGGGGGCAGGGGCTGGCCAGGGAGGAAGCAATGGGTCTGCCCTCTTCAGTTCTGCATTTCTTTGGCCATACCAACTCCTGGTTGTATTTTTCCAGCGCTTTACACAAATAAGAGGAGGAAGAAGTCCCAGAGCGATGAAGGGCAGGGCCAGGCTGTGCTAGGAGCCCAGCACTGCTTGCTCTGGAGCTTTGCCTGGGGCATAGAGGCTGATGCTTTCTCTGCTTGTCTGGAAAGAGTCCTGGCATCCCTGCGCCATGGGGCTGGCTACTCTAGCACCCTTTCCTCTCCCACAGCCCAGCACCAGAAGAGCAGAGGCAGGGCTGGCACCACAGCAGGCTTTCTACTTTTTTTTTTTTTTTTTAATATGTTTTTATCTTTTTATAACAAAAATAGCTGCTGAGGGCAGATGCTGCCCCAGGTGAACTTTCTCTGTGTGGCAACCCATGCAGCAGAGGGATGCTGGAGTGACAGCCCTCCCATCAGCCAGGGCAGGAGTGATGGGTTGTGGGGTGGCAGGCTGAGCCAGCAGTGCCAGGACCGCTGCTGTGGCACAGGGCTCACACTGCGTTCTCATCTGTGGTGGCTGCCGTGTAGATGACCTTGGATTTGGTCGGCGAGTCCAGCCTGGGGGGGGAGGAAAAGCAGAGGCGTGTTAGAGCAGACAGGGAGGGGGGCCTGAAGAGGCAACACTAAAAAAGCCCTACTAACCCCTTTCCCATGAGACTAGCACTCGTTGTCCTAGAGACAACCCTTAACCTCCCCCCCCTTCACGTACACATGCATACATGGGCACACATTTCCATCACTCAAGCAGGGACTGCTGCCTCAGATGTGTCCCTGGCACCTCACAGTCCCCTGTCCCCAGCCACGAGCCATGCAGCCCCCCTCCTCCTAGCCTGCAGCTCCCTGCACATCCCATCACTCACCGTGCATTCTGGTTGCGGTGTTTGTGGATGTAGAGCAGGAAGGCCAGCGCGGTGACAGCAAAGAGCACCCCGAAGAGCACAGCCAGCACATCCCCTGCAAGTGAGCCGAGCACAGGCACGTTACAATGGGGATGGTCCCCTGCAGCTATGGGCCAAGGGAGATGGGGCAAGGCTGGGAAAGGCCAGGAGCCCATGGACAGAAGGCAAAGACGACCCGAAGCCAGCAGCCTCAGCTGAGCGTGCTTACCTGCCTGAAAGGAACTCGTGTGTTTTTCTGCACCTAAACACAGATGTGAGAGGACAACTGTGAGACCCCCCCCACACTGCACAGATGCTACAGAGGCCCAGGACAGCTCAGCACCCTCCCAGCTCAGTGCACAGCTGCCGGGCCACCCCTTTCCCAGGCAGGTACCACCCCAATGTTGCGTTACCCACCTCCCTCCTTTGGGCCAGCAGCCCCAGGGCTCTCACCTACCTGCCTCTGATGAGCTGTCACCACCTGAAAGAGATACGGCATGGTCAAGAGGTTTCCCAAGGTGTTGGGTCGAGGGGGCGTGTCAAGTCTGCAGAGCTAAGGGGGTAGCACAGGCAAAGCAAGGTGGTCTGCAAAATCCCCCACCCTCTTTGAGCAGTCGAGGGAGGGCTGCCCTTTGCACCCTGAGCAGCTCGCAGCCAGAAACATTGGAGAAGGAAAAAAAAAGAATTGCTGAACCACCACCTAACATGGAAGACTCACTGAGCCCAGCCAAAAGCCATCTCCCCCACCACTCTGCCCTCTGCTGCTCCGTGCCTGGAAAGCAGCCGGCCGCAGAGCTGAGCGGGCAGAGCAGCACTGCAGTGGCCCGCGGACGCGCAACCCAGGCAAGAGCCCGGCCAGGCGAGTCAGCTCCCCGAGCCAGGAGCAGGGCAAGAAACCCCACGCTCCCCGCAGAAACGGCAGGCCCACCACCAGCACAGCGGTACCTGCTCGTGGGGCCAGGCTGGGCTTTGCCCCCGCAGCACCCCCGAGGGGCGGCCTCCCTGGAGAGCCTCCGCTGCCTGTGGGTAAACAGTGGGATGAAACACAGGCTCATCTCTTCACTGCCGGCTTGGGGAGGTGCAGACAGGCTCCCGCCAGCCTCTGCCCCCGAGAGAGAGTGGGCAGCCCACACCAGGCTGGTGGGAGGCAGTGCAGCCACCTCCGCGTCCCCACGGCCCTGGCTGTTTCCGGCAGGGCATCCCGCGTAGGGACGGCTCAGCGGCCAGCATCGAGGCAGGGACTGTGTCTGGGCCCTAAATACTGGGTGGGGGCCGTGCCAGGCAAACATTTACCTACCACTATACCATTGCCTTTAAAAGGGTTGCATTATCATCTGTACACATCTGTATCGTGCACGGAGTGGCACTATCTATCTGTGGGCAATATCCAGCAGGACCCAGCAGCTCAGCCGAACTTGCCTCCTTCACCCAGCAGCCTGGGCCAGTGCTGCTTTCCTGAACTGCTGGTGACTCGGGAAAGATCAACAAGCGCGAGCACAGGAGGTATAGATGAAAGCTAAGTGAGACATGACCCCAAAGCTGAATAAGCACTTGATCTCAGCATTCAATAAGTCCAGTGCATGGGGCAAAGGCATATGATGGCTAATTATCAGAGCAGAAGTGGGAACAAAACTTGAACAACCCAATGCACACAAGGCAGGGGGCAAGGTAATCACATCCAGGACTACTGGGACAGCGTCCTGGCACTCAGAACTGCAAATCCAGGAACAAGGCCTTCACGGGTTCGTTAAAGTTGGGGTTGTTTGATTTAAATAGCAAATAAGAAAAGAAAAAGCTGAGCTGGACAACTCCACCCCCTCATCTAAGCTTCAGCAACTAAAGGCCTTAGAACAGCTTCTGCAAGAAAGTCACAAAAGGCTTGGAGGTAAATGGAAAATGTGATAAAATGTCTAGCAGGTTTACCAAAGATAGAGCATGCCAGCCTAACCCGATATCCTTCTTTGATAACTGATATTCTAGACAAAGGAAATGCAGTAGATTTTATCTCTCCAGACTTCAGTGAAGCATTTGATGCAGTGCCACATGGGAAAGTGCTCGGGAGGCTGAAGAACACGGTGATTAAAAGCATACGGCCAGCAGTGAGCTGGCTACGGGGAGCTGGAACGGAGAGGGGAAGTGGCATGCCAGCATGCGGTTACTTGAGGTTTTTCCCGAAGGCCTGGGACCAATCTTGTGTACTATTTTTATTAGTCACCCTACACAAGGTGTGGGAATAATGATATTAAGGAGGAAATGCCATCAGAACAGGAAAGGAACAGGATGTTGGACAGAAAAGCCCAAGTGATCTCAAAGTATAGAAACAGGCAAGAATTCAGTGATGCAAAGTGATAGTCGCACCTGAGGACTGACAGGAATTTCTGCAGAGCCACAAACACATAGTTGGAAACCACCAACACAAGAAAGGCCTTCGCGGACGAACTGAGCGCAAGGTGAACGCCGAACTAAATTTAGCTACTAGATTTGAGGATGACGTTCCCAAGCACCTGAGTTGCTACGAGTTTGCTGTTTGCCTTTAAGCCTGCCCCATACATCCTTCAGCCTGTGTTACTATTGCTTCTGCATGACCGAGGACAAAAATCACTCCTAGAAACTGATCTTCCCCATGCAGGACAAGACAAGTGTGCAAAATGGGGGAGGATGGGACCCTGAGGCCAGTGCTGCTGTAAGTCTTCTGCCGGGCAGGGTAACCCATGCCAACACTGCATCCCCACGAGAGAAGCAAAACCTTGACTCCGACTCCTCAGCCTGTCCCTCCCGCACCTCACAGCGGAGTATGACCTGAGCACGTTCGCACTCTCCTTACCAGGAGGCAGCTGCTTCACCGACGTGAGGGCAGTCTGGAAACTCGCCAGCACGTGTCGCCCATGCAGCTCCTGCAACCGCCGGAAGTTGTTCTGCAGAGGGCTGTCGTCGTCCCCCCTCAGGGTCGTCACCAGCACTGAGATCTGGCAGGAAAGCAGCATGAGCAGAGCCGAAGGTGCCCTGCCTTCGGGAGCAGAGCCCCTGCCTTCAGGAGATGGCTCGGGAGCAAGGCGAGTCCCACCGGGGCCTGGCTTAGGAGCGAGGGTGCTGCACGCTACGGGGAAAGGCTGGGCAAGAGCAGGGGGAGAGGCTCGGTGCCCGGACAGACCTGATCTTGAGACAGCTGCACGGTCTGGTTGAAGATTGTCCACTTCACTGTCTGATAGCAGGCAGGGGTGGTCAGAGAGCCGTTATAGTGGAAGTAGAGGTTCAGGTTGGCAGGCAGCAGGCCAGCAATGTTGAATCCAGGCACAAGGACTTCTTCACCTGGGAGAAGAAACACCAGTTAGAGCAGTGCAACCCAGCAGGGAGGCCAGGCTATCCAGAAGAGCACCGTCCCACTATGGGGCAACACTGTCCAGAACACAAAACCTCAGACAGGAACAGCACCAGAGCATGGGGATCCCTAGAGCAGATCTGACCCGGGGCATCCCCAAGCCTAGCTTTGCACCACGTTTACCCAGGGAACCTGCTCCCTGGCTGTAATATGGTCGAGCCAGGGGCAGCAGATTTGCCCTGGAGTCAGGAGAAAGCATGCGCAAGCGCTGCAAAGGGCACCTTGGAAAGCTGTTTCTGCACAGACTCTGCAACGCTTCTCTTCTGTGTGGGCTGCTGCCCTTCTCTGCCATGCACTGAGTTTCCCTGCCTGGCTGCTGCACCCCAAGACAAGTACTAGGTGGGACAGTGCCTTACCTTCTCCCTGGATCGTATACAGATGCTCAAGTATTTGCCGATAGTATGGATTCTCCCTTGGCCCAACCTGCAAAGCAGAGCCCCCACAGAAATGAAGAGCACAGAGACCAGAGTGGAACAGGCAGCCAATGGCAGTGCCAGCAAGCAGGAATTGCTCCCAACACAGGGCACCCTGCCCCAGTCAGCCCCTTCCCCCCACCAGGGCCACCCTGCCCTCAGTCTCCTTCTCCCCAGGCACTTTTGCCTGTCCCTGGAGCTGTGGCTGACTCTGCCACCCTAGTCTTGCTCCCCGCCCAGTCCTGCTCCTACCCCTCTTGCCCTAGCCTGAGCTATTGGCCTCACCTGCAGGAAGGCTCCCAGCACTGCCAGGCCATCTGGGTGGACCATCGCCTCCTCAAAGTTGTCATACTTGGTGTTGTAGTGTACCACGTGGATCTGGAAGGGAAAGGTGCAAGCCCCGATGCAGCACAGGCACATCCAGAAGGTGCACACCGCCATGGGGCTCTGCGCAGCCAACCTGCCACAGCAAGGGCTGGGAGAGACGTGCACCCTCACCGAGCACCCATCGTAGGGAGCAAACATGCTGGTGGGGCCAAGAAAACATGCCACTGCAGGGCAGCAAGCGTGAAGAGTTCCCCACCTTAACTTCCCTGGTCACAGCCAGCAAACCTGCCCTGGGGGAAGGGGGTGGGGGAAACGGACAACTTACTGCAGAGCTGGGTTTGGTTTGAGGACAAGTGCTAGAGAAGGAGGGATAAAACCAGATGGGACCTGGCAGAGTAGGAAAGCGGTCTGTGTTCAGAGTAAACAGCTCTCCGCAGCAGGCTGCCCAGGGGGCTGTCTCCCCCAGCCTGGGGCCACCGTGGCTCCTGCTCCATCAGCCCAGGGCCGGGCTGCAGCACGGGGGGAACAGGCTCAGCTGCCTGAGGAAGAGTCCACCACATCTCAGGGCATGCTGGGGGGGTGTGCTGCCTCTCCTGCAGGGCAACCTCTTCCTGTTCGCCTTGTCCCTGCTTCAGGCCAGCTCTACCCAAACCCACCCATGGGCAGAGCGTCCTCAGGGGCTGCCTTTGTGCTGCAGGCCACGTCACAGACACAGCTCTTACTTTAGGTGCTGGTGCTCTCCTACACTAAACTCTGACCCTGCAGAGGCGATTGGGGAAGCAGAGATCCTTGCCAAACAATTACAACATTCATCCAGCGGCAAATGGTGCCATGGGACAGGACACCAGCACCTTCTCTGTGCAGACGCTGGGAGAGGCGAGGGCAGCACTGCGGAGGGCGGCAAGGAGGAGCAGGAGCTCCTTACCTCTGCGGGAAAGCGGTGATTATTGATGGTGTGCTCTGAGCCAGGTCCCGTCAGGGAGCCCCAGTGCAGGTGCAGCTGCACAGCTCTGTACTGCTGGGCATAGCCACCGGTGATGGCCAGCGACTCGGGCAGCTTAAGGACAACTGCAGGAGCAGAAGGAAGAGGCTGGTCAGTAAAATGCAAAGCTTGATCCTTCATACAGGAGCGCAGAGGAGACATCTCATGGGAGAGGGTCACCTTGGGTTTGTGGAAATTGGTCACAACAAACAAACTTTCTTTCAATCTTTAATGAGGCTGCAATGAACAGAGCTGTGCCAATGCAGCTGGCTTCAACTTTCAGCTTCAGGTTGTAGGACACCTTGGTTTAAAAACAAAAAAAAAAAAAAAAAGCTTCAAAAGTAGCTGCTGGGGAAATACCGAAGAGCAGAACAACCTCTCTGCAGAATCTCCCAGGGGTTAGTTCTAAGCCAGATGTTACCCCATAATTTATTCAGTAAGCAAGCATAAAGAGACTGTAGACAAAATTCATGGAGAAAGATATTGGTGAAGCGTTAAACACCTATGAGAGCAGAGTAGCTGTAAAGAGAGCGCTGTATCATTGGCAAGCTAGGACCATTCAAGTAAAGTGGCCTGTAAGTGTATGACAAGCACTAGGACTGCTGTTATGGAAGCATTACTCTTCTGCAGTCATTCAGAGTTAAAGCTTTGCCTGTATGGATGCTATAAATACATACTTTTGTCTGCCTTTTACTTTAATCTGATTCAAACCGTGGCCAAGTCCTGGCTAGCAAGTCAGTCCTCATACAGCAATGTGGCAAATCTTAAAGCTGGGTTATTGGGACAGGCCACAAAATAGCTCTGATATTTTGAACAATCTCTGAAGCCTGAGGAAGGCTGTCATATCTTTCTGAGCACCTCCTTTTGATTTTTAAAATCAACTCTTTTCCTTCCTCTGTATTTATAGGTGAAATATCTCTTGGTCACATCACTGAGCTAGAGCGCAGATTCAGGATTAACAGCATAATATGACCATGATGAGTCATTCGTCCCCTCCTCTGTTCCCTGCTACTGGGCTTAAAGATACAAAACTCAAATACAGGAAGTGAGAAATCGCTCCCTCTCTGGAAGTTTATCTGCTTTTACATTTCTTTTGTATATCTTAATTAGTGCATTCCTTCTATTATTTATATGAGTCATTCTCACTTCAGAACTTTGTACATTGTATAGTATAAGAAGGATTAACTGTACAAATATTCTAGTAGATGTGCGATGTTTTAGTTACTTCTGGCTTTTCATAATGATCACAGAAGATTGGCAGTTTCCATAATAAAAAGGGCATCTTATAAGCACATGGGAAATGAGTTGTTCTCTCTCTGAAAGTGCTATGACTGCTTTTCTGAACACTAAGCAACTCCAGATGCCAGGGTGTCTAAAATAGCAACTACCGAGCTCAAGTAGTTTAACTATGCAGGCACGCTAGGGCAGGAGGCATTATAAAGCTCCGTGCATGCAATGCGTGGCTGCTCTGACCATGCGCAGCAAATCTAACTCCTTGAGTTTGCTTTAATGCACAGACCAGCTCAATCTGTCTTGCTAGCTACCAAGGCAGTGAGCTGCTTTATCACACCTTCAATGAATTTTAAGTCATGGCCTCTACTACCTCTGCCAGTCCCTGAGCCATGACGACATCAGTACACACATAACACTTGACACGCTCCCACAAGGACATGGTAGCACACAGGACCCACTGTTCCCAGATGCATAACTGTGGGGTAGTGAGCAGGAAGGAGGTGGGTTTAATCTCTATACCTGGCAGGGTGAGACTGATGCTAAAATACTGTGAATAAACTGTGTCCTCACATTCCAAAAAATGCCCTAAAATTGGAGAAGGCATATAAAAGGCCCATAAAAAAATGCCTTAAGATCCTGAGATAACATCCTAACACATAGCTTAAGGAATTTGACTGATATTGTGTCCTAAAAGCCTAAGAGGTAAATACCTTAATGGCAAAGTCATATCAGAGACCAAATGGTCCTTTAACAGTGAAATGTAGGAGAGGAACTAACAGCTGCAAACTTATATCAGAAGTACCAGGATCCATTTTTTAAAAGAAGTGTGGATTACAATAAATTCTTGGAGCAAACTCCCAAAGGCAGCGGTGAGTTCTCCATCTCTTGGTTTCTCCACTCCAGCCAGGAAAGCACTTGGGCCTTACAGGCTAGACAGCCTAATGTTGCCCTTTTGGCCTTGGAGACCGTATGAATGAAGCCTACAAGACAGCAACCTCACCAGAGACCAGAGCGCAAGAGTTTCAGACCAGCCCGGTCCTGCCAGGAGAGGCTGCGAGCAACGGCTTGGCCTCGGTGAGGCCAGCCCCGTGCCACATCCCTTCAGCCACCCACCTGTGTGTCCGTTGTTTTTCAGCTTGAGTCTCTCCTTGGAGGGCAGGCTGTAGCCAGAGAGCTGGATGGGCCGCAGCTGGGGACTGAAGATGGTCTTGGCCGTGTTGATGTTGATGGGTGACTGCATCATGCCTCCGCAGTCCGGGTAGTGCAAGTTCCACTCCTGCCAGTCTGGTTCGGGAGGGAGGGCACGTGAGACCGCCCGGGCACGGGGCACGCCGGAAAGGAGGGAAGGGGACAAGCACAGGCCAGGGAATAAACCCTGCACACAGTTTAGTTTCCCCCAAGGTAGCTTGGGAGCATCCATGGGAGCAGCTCTGTGCTGCCACATGACTGTGGGCAGCTGGATTAGGACAAGGCCTCCGAGCGTGGTGAGCTGCCAGGAAAGTCTATTTTAGGGGTGTTTGGGAAGAG